CGATAATGCTTTGAGATCGGTTGGGATTCTTCTTCCAAGCATTGAGAAGGTTCATACGTCCCGCCATCTCAGTTGATCGAAAGCTTTTACTTTTTCCAACTTTGTTCTTCAAATCTAAGTTCGGATTACGTCTCCGATGTTCTTCTGCTCTACGGAATCTACAAAACCGAAGTATCCCAACAATGGATAATATACTGCCAGATAAATGATGTTAAGTCAAGTCAAAATTGAAATTACCGATATGAAATGAAGAGAGCAGATAAAGTATTTACCCGGCTGAAATGAAGAATCTAGGATTCCAGGAGATAAACCGGCAAGCTCTAATCGAGAATCTTTCACCAACCGTTGATATTTGAAGACAGTTCGAATAATTTGTCAACCCGATCGTACAGCAATCCTTCAAATCGGCGTTCTTTCTTTCCTTGGGGTTTGGCTACAATGTCACAAAAGTCCACCTGTTAGCGAAGACAAAAAACAAGAAATTAATACTCAAAATGAAGCAAAAAGGAAAATTAACTTACAATAACCAGATTTAACAGCCATTGGGATACTCGTCCCATTGGTGAGAAGGTCGTTCGCAAAGTCGGCACACTGCCAGCCTCCACAAACCCACAACCACTCTTCTTGAAACCCATAGAGCGTGTCGGGAACTTCCGTTATCAGTTCACCAACCTTGACCCTTGACTGAGGTTTACCGACAATTGAAAAGGTAAGAAGTGGATCTGTTACTTGTCTATCTGGTCTTTTCCGAAAAGTAAACATACTCCTCATGTCATTCGCCGACGGTAAATCCCATTTCTTCTCCGCAAAAAGTACAAGCAAACCGATAATCCGCTTCCATGAATTCGGGGCAATTTGACATAGAGCTAATTCCCAGTTCCTCAAATATTCGGTGATTATGTGTGGTAGAGGAAATCGTAACCCTGATCTTCAGGTTTCTGCAAATACGCCGACGCACCCCGGCGGTGGATATGTAATCCTTTCCCCAGGATACGGCGCAAACAAATGCACCGATGTGGGAACCCGGATTTCACCTCGCAACATAATAACATCGGCATCTGTCAATATACTCGGTTCACCGTGAAAATTGATTTTGAGGTCTGGCCACCTTCTAATAGGTCGTCTCCAATATCTTGGATCGTCAACAGCGTTCTTCTCCACCTTTTTATCCCCTTCGGTATCGTTTAGTCGGATATTCAGGCGTTCGACAAAAATTGGATCCCACCGGTTATACTCAGAAAGCAATTCCATCTCCCCAGAATGAACCATATTAATCATCATAACATCCAGCTCATAATCACCAGAAGATGCCCATGACACACTCATGATGTGGAGAAACAATATGCCGAAACAGATAAACAAAACAAATAAATAAGTCTTACCATAAGAAGAAATTCACGGATCCGAAGGAAATGCTTTGAGGGATGCAGTTATCAGTCAATGAGTTCGCAAAAAGGGTAAAGTCACAAGAAAGCAGGAAGTTGAATTGCAGAGCAAAAGCAAAGATGAAATAAACTCCAAGAGACGATTTTTTATTTATACTTAACCCTAAATTCAATAGTGACCGTTGGGAAGAAAAAGAAATAGGGGCGCATGGATTAAACTCTCTGATTTCGCAAGTAGACACAACCCTTGAAGACCGCACCGATTAACGGCAGTTACGTGGCCTATAAAAAGTAACCGTTGCCCCATTAGCGAACGTTGCGATTAATTCTAATAAAATTGTGCGGTTTCAGCTTCCAGTTACATTTTCACACCAAGTGTTAAGATATCGGGGAATAGCACTAAAAACCGACATGTCTGCTCAGATCAGGAATTTCATGCTATTTTTCAGCATCAATGCCCGTCTTTTTTCAAGACACACATTAATGCTGGGGGCCACCTTGTTCATATGGTTTTCGGTAAACCAAGTTATTAATACTCATTGGCGTTCAAAGCTCAATAATTAGAAGATTATGTTATCTCAGAGGATTGACATACTCGCAAATTTCAAGTAATCACTCATCGGATGAAGACGGGCCACGAACCGACATCCTCGTCAAATAACCGACATCTCATATCGGTTAAAACCTAATGAACCGATATCTATGACTCCGCGAACCGACATCATAAGGCGGTGCCAGCTCAGCAACATCATCATGATGCCTTGCCAAGTGGCGTACTACGAGAATGGAATGCGATCGGCCGCCATTGACTTTTTTAGATTAATGATTGTAATTTTGATAATTTTAAGGCTATAAGATAGAAAGTAGAAGCTCCCAAGAAAGGAAGACAAAAAAACATATAAACCATCACATACAATAAACCGTGTTTTTTACCATCTTTCCGTACAACTAATCTTTCTGTATAATCAATACAATTCCATTTGAATACTCTTTGTTAATTCCCGCATAACAACACATCCGATACCTCTAGTCGAGCTTATGAAGTGAGAAAGAGCAAGCGAAGAAGCAAGAAGAGAAATTAATTAACTATTTAATTAAATAAAGTTTTTGTCTCAACAATTCTCTGAGTAAAATATTATATTTTAAAAGTTAAGTTTTAAAAATGTATATTTCGAGGAGTCGAGAAGTCGAGCCATCAAGCAGTTTTGTAGAGCATTTCAGCATATCATCATCCGCATTTAAGGTCAAGTGTTTCTATACTATGTCTTATTCTTTATAATCGCAAGATATTATAATTGATGTATGTTATGTAAGTGCTAGGCCTGTGAAGGGAAATCAGATAAATTACACCTGCGAAGGGCGAGTGCTCGGCTTGTGAAGGGTAATGTGCGAAGGGCAATAAGTAACATTTTTCCTGTGAAAGGAAATGCTTGTGAAGGACAAGAAGATATACTATGCCTATAAAAGGCGAGTGCTCGACCTGTGAAGGGAATGTCTAGGAAGGGGAATCAATTACATTTCACTTGTGAAAAGCATGTGAGCGGCAAACAGATAGATTACGCCTGTGAAGGGCGTTTCCTGTGAAGGGCAATCAGAAGAGATTATTTATATATGTTTCGTGCTTAACTTAGGGTATCTATTTTTATGTTGAATAATTGCATAGTACGATTCTCACGGTGAGCTAGTGTTTTGCTCACTCGCCACAGTTACCACCTTTCAAGTTGAGCAGCTGGCGGCAGACACGGATGGCCGAGGGTGGTCAAAGTGATCTTATTTATTTTCATGCTTCCACAGACATTTTGCAAACTCATTGGTTGTTTTAGTTATATATACTTCATGATTTGAGACTAAGACAAAGTTATGTTAAGGTTAAGTATTTTGAAAAGTTTATTATGTCTTTGATTGTTTAAGAGGCAAGAAAGAAGTTCGAGAAGTGATTTCTCTGAGAGCTTAAGTGTGAAGCTTGAATTAAGAAAAATGTTTTCAACAAGTTTATTCAAAGAAAGAATTTTTCAGTAGTGCTCGAGAAAAATTTTAAAGTTAAAAAGTTTTTGAGAAGTTCAAATTATTCCTGAAAACGTAGAGTTTTTTCAAAGAAAAGTAAGCTAGCGCTACAACATTGTATCAAAGTCGGTCAGCGGTCGTGCCGCGCCAACTCTCAGGTACGTAGTATACATCTTAAAGGCATTCCAGCATGTTCATGTTGCATTTATGAGTTTATTTTGGGGCATAGGACTTACTCTTCGAGAAAGACCTTCAAACTCTAGTTAAGTATTGAACTCGAGTCAAAGTTTGAGTTAAACTTTGACCCTAGAAGTTACCTCAGTTTAGTTTGACAAAGTGCCTTCAAGCAAGTATATGTAGTAACGGGTTTTCAATGTAAAAAAGCCACAAATCCGAGTAAACCATGAAGGCTTGAAATAAAAGCCACAAGTTCGGGTGGACTATTAAGGCTTCAAGTTGGGCCGTGAAACATATTTTTTAGTATGAGATGACACTTGTTGATCATAAGAAGAAAAGATAAGAAGATAGCATTTTAAGAGACGAAAGCAAGGATCGTTAGGATTTTAAGAGACGAAAGCAAGGATCGTCTGCGAGGTGACCTTTGCTTGTGAAAATGAGGAATTTATGTATAAAAACGTGACCGCGCCATTAGTTACATTAGTTTTGCAAAAAAAAAACGATGTACCTATAATAAGTTTAACATGTGTTTTCTCTAATTTTATATAACAAGATAATACATTACATCTATTCTCTCTAACGTATGTCCTATTAAAAAAAATAGAAGATAATATCTTCAAAGCTAGGTTTGATTTGATTTAAAAAAAAAAAAAAGAAAAAAGAAAAAATGTTTTGCTCAGAAAACATTGATGACAAAGTGGAAAATTTTTCTTAGAACTGATATAATGTTTGAAAATTGTAAATGAATGTGAGATATACAAATATAATCACTAAAGTTACCGATCAAAAAAATATGTATAATCACTAATATTAAGCACTAGTGGTATATAAAATTTATGATCGACTGAATTTATGAAAATATTGTAATATAATTATTTTTAGTGTTGTATTGGTAATGATTATATAATAGAAAAAAAAAAACAAAATTTTTTATTTTAATTGCAGTTTTCTTGGATGGATGGAAAGAGAAAAATTTCTTCACCTGCTACACGTGTCAAAAGAAGGGAGACTTGAAACTGTATATTACACGTGTAACGCTAGGGAATAGCCCACCTCTCCCATCCCATGCAAACCGTGTAATAATACCTTCAATTTGGAACATCTTCCTCTCTCTACTTATATAATAATAACCTCCCCGTTTCTTCTATCCACACGTTTAAAATCAGTTTCTATACATATATTATTATACGCCTAAACCAAACGCTTCTAAAATAAAAGAAGAAATCAATAAGAAAATGGAATCACAAATGCAGCGGCCGTCGCATCATCATCACCGTGATGAACAAGATCCACATCACGCTTTTGGTTTGTTATTATTTCACATTTACATATACATGTGTGTGTGTGTGTGTGTGTGTGTGTGTGTGATTAATGTCCTATGTAGAGAGACGATCTCATATTTAATTAGTGTTTTATTATTGGTGAATTGTTTAGATGGTGAAGGAGAGCAAGGAAGGGAGCACAAGTCTGTGCTGAAAAAGGTGAAGGATAAGGCCAAGAAAATCAAGGATAAAATCACCAAGCATGGCCATGCCCATCAACATCAACATCAACATCAAGATGATCATGTTGTCCATCATCCTCAACTCCATGGTATTAATTCTTCTCCTCCCTTAACTATAATTAATGGGAGATAGTTACAGTCCCGTCACGGAATCATTCCGTTAAGATTTATAACCGTTTCATAAACTATCCGATGGTTACATAATAGTCAAATGGTTGCAAACTCCGACGGAATGATTCAGTAACGGGACCGTGGCATTTCCCTCTTTCAAACATAACTTGCATATTATTAGATTGTTGATTTTGGCATGCCCATATACTAATCAATAGTTTGGATTGATCACTCGGATTGTTGATTTTGGCTGATTATTATAATGATAATAATGAAAAATTACAATTGGTAGATTATATATACCAATCATTTGGATTAATCGTCTTTTGTCTGGTTTGGTTTGCAGTGTATGAAAGTGGTGCTAATAGGAGCACTGATGTCCCAACTAAGACGGGCACACAAAATGTCACCAATGAAGCTCGACCTGTCGGGCTAAGTCCAATGGCACCCGAACCAAAAGGCCCATTCGTCAAGGAAGACGAGAAGCCCATCAAACATGGTACTACTAAGGAAGCTACAAAGATGAACATTGGTCCTCAAATGGAGGATCCTCACTCCCCACTTGTGAGCAAGTCTGTGGGGCCAAATGAGGGTGGAAAAGCCGAATCAGGAAAGAGTAGGACCCACGATCAAATCACCCCACAACAAACCCTAGAAAAAACCGAGCCGGACTCGGTGGGTGGGCAGTCGATATCGGAGGTGGTGTCGGAGTATGCGGAGAAGGTGGCAGAGACACTGAGGCCAGGGGAGGAGGACAGGGCCCTATCGGAGGTGGTGACGGGGGCCCTTTCCGGGAAAAAGGAGGAAGAGAGTAGGGTGAGGCAGTCAGCTGAGGTGACGGAGCGTCTGGGCCCCATTGGGGGGAAGAGGGAAGGGGAGGATGCAGTGGCGGCTGGGGCAGAGAGCTCCGGGGAGGGAGTGGTGGAGAGGGTCAAGGATGCAGTGGGGTCGTGGCTCGGGATGAGCGGAGGGGTCCAGACAGCTCAGGATTCTGCGGCCAAAGGATCCTACTGTCAGTCTCTCTCTTTCCCCACATTTTAATTATCTTTTGCTTACTATTCTTATTTATTATTAATGAGAGTTCAACTTTACTTTTTCTGTTTATTGTTTTTGTTGTATGTCTTATTGCAGTAAGCGGGTCGGGTAGATAAGAAGGGAAGCAAGTTGATGAGGGAAGAAGAAGAAGGGTTGAAGCTGCTGTGCTGCTGGGCTTGTGATGTATATATATTATTATGTGTTTCGTTGTTACCAAGTTAATTGGGCATCTTCTTGTTCGATGTTTGCTCTCTATTGCAGTCATGGTTTTGGAAATTTGTGTTTTTGTGTCGAAATATGTAAACTCCTTGAAATATGTCAACTCAAGCTTGTTTTACCGCCTTTCATCCTCTTCGTATTATCTATGTATGTTTATTCCTTCTATGTTCCTCCTTCCAGAACAAATATATGATTTTTATATCTGTTGGAATAAATCTTTTGTTCTGTTAAGAAAGATACAACATAAACAAGAGTTTCTCACTTATTTAATTACCTGTTATAAACGTTCTGATCTCCCGGCAGGATGCGTTTATGAGTACAAAAATGAGATGTGCTTGGGTTTGGAATATGTATGATATGTTGACTGAAAAGTGGAATATGCTCGGGTATAGTGGCAAAATTCAGTTTTTTATTCACTATTTTTATTTTGTTGTTCTAATAAAAGTGGCACTGTGTAGGTGGGTATCAAATTTATTACTACGTCTTACATAATTTCACTATACCATTGGCCTTGTGTTTTTTTTTTTTTAAAAAAAAAAAAAATTGCCATCGAAAGTTTTTCTTTAATTGGTGGGGTTTACTGATGAGGTAAGGAAGTAAAATGCTACAAGTGAGTCCATTGCAAATGGAGATGGAAGAGATCAATGTTGACAATTCTTCTCGCATCATGCAAATAATGGATTAGATTAAAATGACTCAATTAAATTCTAGTGCTTCTTCTATTAGTGAAGTTTCTAGAAAAAATATATCAAACGACGCAACGCACCTTGGGTCGCTATGGAAACAGCCTCCTTGTATAATTACAAGGGTAAGGTCTGCGTACAACTGACCCCCCAGACCCCAACCTGTTTGAGAATATACTGGGTATGTTGATGTTGATGTTGATGATGAAAATGCTACAAATACATAATAAATGTACATAGAGGTGTACATAACACTCGTATGGAGTGTGGTGTACTTGATTTTTTATTTTTTGTAGGTTCCACACAATGTGAGCGTTATGTACACTCGTATGTACCATATTGGCCCTGTTTGTTTTTCAGCTTTTTTGCCAAAACGTTATTTTAGCGATTTTGACCAGATTGAGAAAAGCTAAAATTAGTTTTTTTTAGTGTTTGGTAGAATAGCTTTTGAGATTAGAGCATCTCCCATGGTCAAATGTTGTTGTGATAAATTACATTCCACCTCAACACTTCTAATAAATTCACCATTTTTTCATCTTCAGTGTACAATGTGATCACAAATGTTGTGATAATGTATACATTATTAATGTCTACAATGTAGAGAAGAATGTGATTCATCCACATTCTCTTCTACACTCTAGCCAACCAATGGAAAAAAGAGAGAGAACCATTCTTACCAATTATAAGCAATATAATTATTTAATTAATTTTATTTCTTCTTTTTAATTTTTTTTAATATTTGATAAGTATATAATATGAGTCAAAATTTTTTTCACCCCCTTATATATCTATTCTTTCTTTTACACACTACCCCGTCAAATAATTTCTTTTACACCCCAAAATTCACGAAATGCTATGCGATATTACACTAGCATGTCCAAATGAACCAAAGCATATCCAATCGACCGCATAATTTATGACTATGCGTAAACATTTCGCATTTTTTTTAATCGCAATATCCACATCAAACGTATAATTTACAAATATGTGAACATATTTCGCATTTTTAATAGTCGCATATACAAATCAAATGCAGTATAATATACGATGATTATGCGCCTTCTTTTCGCAGGGCTATATCAACCTTGCAAATTTATGTCTGCGAAAATATTTCACATGTAATTCGCATAATTTGTTGAATACGCATTTTCTGGTAATTGCACATCCAAGTCAATCGCATAATTTCGTAATATGCGAAAACATTTCGCATATATCCTCCGGATAATTGACAATTATGCGACATCTTTTCCCTCGCATATTTAAGAATCACATAACCAAATAGTATAAAGCATAATTTTTTGACGATTATGCGCCATTTTTTCGCATGGTCATATCGACCTGGCAATTTTACGACTATTCGGAATTCGTACGAAGATCTTTCGCATAAGTTGCGCACCTCATTAATTGACTGCTTTTTCACAGGTGAGGATTTGGTCTCTGCATTTATCATGCAGGCAAAAAAACAGTGATCTCTAACAATTTAACGTCTGAACCATTCATCTACTGCATTTTTCTGTTTCTTTTTTTTTTTAATTCTTTTTGTTGTTCACTTATTTGAATGACTAGCAACCGTGTTAGATTATTGGTGCACTTTGGTGGTTCGTTTTGCGAGGGTTCATATCTTGGTGGAGTGGTAGAGCTGATGAGAATAAATTACGGCCGACAAATATATTCTGAAGTAGTTTCTCGTGCTCAAGCATTATTGAAGGCCGATCCTTGTAATTTTGAGTACATATTTGATATAGCCCTATTGTCATGGTCCAGTTCAGCTAGAGATTGCTCGACTGAAGGTTGCAGACGACCCCACTAAGTCGAGATAAACGATGTCGACTCGGCCCATCAGCTATTTAAAAGTCGTCAAACCGGTCATGGTACCTAGTCGACTTCATAAAGTTGACCGGATACAAGACGACTTCATCCATGATAACGAGCAGGCGTTCTCATAACCCTCGGATACTCGTATAACTTCAGATCGACTTATAAGGACCTCCGACGACTCGATGAGCAGATGCGACACATGGAAGGCTCCTAAGCACAAGTTTATACAGGATAAGAAGGAATCTAGATGCTGACTCAAGAGTAAGCAGAATGTGGACCGACCAGGGCATTTTGGGTACTTCATGTAAGTCGGCCAGGGCATTTTTGGGACTTCAAAGTAAGTGTTTCTACTCCTATATAAAGGAGCTGAGGTAACCCTAAACCTTAACTATTATTCTCATTCAATACTCAGCTGCTGCTCCCCCTGAGGAGGGCTTCTTCTCTATTCGATCACTGACTTGAGCGTCGGAGGCTCTTCACCGGGAAACACTTCCGGTGTTGAGTTCTTGCAGGTGTTCACTGCGGTCCACGGGCGACTTGGAGACGATTCGAACAGACCGGAGCTCATTCCACCGGTTCACTCCAGATCTAGAAGGAGACCCATCAAATTGGCGCCGTCTGTGGGGAGTTCTTGAAGGAAGTAAGAGCTTCACACCTAGTTCCGATCTGTTTGACATGGCGGAGAAAGAAGGATTATCGAGGAATATAAACGAGGACTTTAGGGCAGCGTGGACGGACAAGCGGCCGCCGTTAATTCCCGGCCCTAGACCACCGCTTCATGTTCTCGGTTTTCCACCCTTTGGGGGGCACGCGCCGTCGGGGGTGCGTGTTGAGGAAGAAACACCCATCACACCTCCCGGGGTAAAGATTCCGGGGATAACACAAGGAGAACCTAGTCAAGTGAAGGGCACGAACACGAGAGCCGACGGCCACGAGTCCGCAGAAACGACTTTGAGCCTGGGAAAGCAATCCAGAGTGCTGGAACAAGTGACGATGCCACCACCCCAGGCCGAGGAGCAGATGATGACCGTGACGAGGAATGAAATGCAAAGAATGATAGCGGAGGCGGTGGCAGCCCGACTCGAGCAGGTACAAGTCGAGAACCCCAGGCCCGAGCAGCCCAGGGTCGAGCAGCCCAGGATCGAGCAGCGCAGGATTGAGCCACCACCCCATGATCATGAGCAACAAGCCCAGTCCAATGATAGGCAAGTCAGAAGGGTGGAGGAAGAGGCGTCCTCCATAAGGACTGCCAACCCGCGGGCGAGAGATGAAACGCTGGAGCAATTGTTGGCCCAGGTTCGTGATTTACAGGCCCGAGTCGAAGGGAGGAAAATTGGAGGCTCGAGGGGACACCCGTTCTCGCAGCACATCTTGGATGCCGACCTGCCGCAAGGTTTTCGTGATCTGAACATAAGTTATGACGGGTCGACTGATCCATCGCGTCACATAAGGAGTTTCGAGAATATGGCAGTTTTGCATCGTTATAATGACCCCGTGCAATGTCGAGCTTTCCTTACCACTTTACGGGGATCTGCACAAGATTGGTTTCACCAACTACCAGCGGGAGCCATCAATAATTTTGAAGGATTCAGTGCGAGCTTTCTCAATCAATTTGCAAGTGTTAGACCGCAGGAGAAATCGTATCTGACTTTAATGGGCATCCAGCAGAAGGAAGGTGAGTCGCTACGAGATTATGTGGCGAGATATACGCGAGCATGTGTCGAGGTGCCCAGGGCGTCGGAGGAGATAAAGGCAGGAGGTTTCACACGAGGGTTGCTACCGGGCTTGTGCAGGAACTCTTTGGCAAAACGCCCGGGTAGAACGCTCGACGAAGTGATGGGGAGATGCGCGAAGTATATGAATGTCGAGGAGGCGGAGATTGATTTCCTGCGAACGACTAAAGAAAGTAGAACTGACCCTCGGGATGAGAGAAGGGAGAAGAGAATTTCCTCGGCTGGGGAGAGAAAGGGGTCTCCGCGAGCAGAGAGAGAGGGGCGACCTAGGGGTTGGAGGCCGACTCAATACACCCCTTTGACGGCCCCTCAAGCGCGAATCCTGGAGGTGATGAAAAAAGAGATTCATGACAATGTTGTCAGATGGCCCAAGACGAGAAAAGACGGACCAACAAGACCAAAAAGTAATCTATACTGTCGATTCCACAAAGACTACGGTCACAATACTAACGACTGCAGGCACCTTAAGGACGAAATCGAAAGGTTGATTAGGGCAGGACACTTGAAAGAATTCATATATAAGG